CAATATTTCATCTCATATAAAACTGAATTCAAGAAGGTACTATTAATTATAAATCATGGTAATAGTTAGTTATTATCTCGACTGAATTATCATCCTGAAATTTTATTTTGAAGAATAGATTTAGTGTTTACAATTAGTTTACCTTGATAGGAAAGCGGATTATCTCACCTCATTATAAAACCTTTAATAGTACGTTTAATTAGTGGCATTTTTCAATTAGCCTCAAATTAGTTATTTGTCTATTGATTAATTTATTATTTTCCACACAAAAAACACACATAGATTCATTTCTATAATTGATGAGATCTTCCCGGGAATACAAATAATTTTACGATTCACATATTCCATTATTATACAAAGGGAGTTTTAACTGTTAAACATCTCAGTATATTATGAACAAAGATGAATAGTGGCTAGTAGTGGAATCCAGGACGTGCGTTTGAAGCGAACGGTACTAGGTTCGAGTCCCAGAGTGAACATCAACTCTGAGATGCAGATACATCCAGTTGACGAGTCACAAACAGGACGAAACGAGCGTCCTGGATTCCTTTGCTAGCTACTATCCATCTTTGCTTATAATGCTTATGAATTAAGGCAATGTTGAGGGAACCCGTACAGGATGCACGTATGCCAATCAGAGACCGATTAATTGCAATCCTAAACATCAACGGGAAGATTCAAGTAAACAATACCGAGTTGTTATAACCCAATATGAATAATGAATGGTAGTTTTTGAGATGCATTTATGGACCAATACTATGAGTATATTTTTATCGTATAATTGTCATGTAACTAAACTGTTCATATTCATGTCCCACTTATTATGAGTTTTATTTTGACCTATGAACTATTATTATACGATTTACTATTCTTGAATTATTCCCTGTCTGTTAATCACTATCTCCCTCATTCACAGCCACTTTTGGCCGAATATTGTAAAAATGTTATTTTCTATTTTATGGTACGTTGTGGTCTGTTTGATTGGTATATAAACCGATTATGTTTGGAATAAATGATTCATATTGCAGAGATTGAGGTTGATGTTATTGTCTTAACTTGTTGGCCTAGACAGGGAGCGAGACCGATCAGGACTCTAGGCAGCTCGCACGTTTTCTATGCGTGACGTGTTCGGTCAATAATTCGCTGCGGTGTCGTTGCGTTATACCATAAAGAGGGCACACAGCTTCACAAGTTATAACACAAGTGAATCTCGATATATTGTTTTAACATAGAAATAAACAGTGAAATAATTTTGTTAGATTATTGATTTTATTCCAGCTGAATATCAGCTGATACTTGAAATCGATGATGAAAGGTTACAATATTTCTATTCTTTTTAATTAAAAGAATATCTATGATGAATTACGGTCTTTATTCTTTTTTCTTTCTTACTGAATAATTCAGATGATTTATTATTCAATAACTGAATCACGTAGAAACAAGAGAGAAGGTGATGTGATCGTTTCTGTTATCTAACATCAGTCACCTTTTTTTCTTAATTTTAATAAATCACCATTATGTCATAAGTGATATATTCCTATGATATTTTTAAGTAAGAACATGACATAATCTGAAATTGGTAAAGAGTAAGAATAAAGATTTGTGTATAATAACAGAAATTCATTTTATATGAATATTTTTCAATATTAGAATGAATATACGAATATTCGTCAAGATTAGAACGAATAGTTTAACAGAAATTGGGCGCCAATTATAGAGAAGTCATTATATGTGGAGAATTATATTTGAAATAATCTCAGTGATTGAAATTTAAATAATTCCAATGTTTCGTCCAGCTAACTTATCTGGACTTCTTCAGGATAATATAAGCGAAAACGTCGGAATGATTTAAATTTTAATCGTTGAGATTATTTCAAATATAATTTTCACCTATAATGATTAGAATGAATAGTTTGACAAAAATTGGGCATTGAGTAAAACATTATCTGTGAAAATCATATTTCAAATAATCCCAACAATGGAAACTTAAATACTCTGAAGAAGTTCAGGCAAGTTTATTGGACGAAACATTGGAATTATTTTAAATTTCAATCACTGAGTTTATTTCAAATATAATTTTCACATATAAATTCATTTTATTTCATGAGATACTCATACACTGTTGCTTACAACCTGTAATAGGTTTAAAAGTCAAAATCGAAAATGTTAGTTAAAAATACTTAAATAAATGAATTTAGTCACGATTTGTTATAGTTATGACTTAGCGTTATACTACCAAAGATGTAAATAAACTTAAGAGATGAAATGAAAATTATATGTATATATCCTATAACTTTGATAGTAACACAATGAAATCAAAGGGTTAAAAATAAATGGTTACTTAATGCACGAATCCTTTAAAAAATATATTGATTATGTGTAACAACGATGTTAGTTATCACGTGATTTATCCACCAATCAAAATACGACGTATACAATCTTAGCACTGTGCCAAACCAATGACTTTCGACCGGTATGAGCAGCCTAGCGTCCTTATTAGTCCTATGGTCCGCCTAGCCCGTCCACTTGAGTCCATAACACCAAAACCAGCTTCCGCTATGTGAATCGAATCGAATTATTTATTTCAGACATACTGGGTTTATATATCAAACAAACAGACCTCAACGCACCATAAAATAGGAAACAACATCTGTACACAATAAAGTCAAAAAGTGACTGTGAACGTGGTAGACAGTAATCAGGACCTTCGGTCTCACACGTAAACACAACCTCTAGACCACTGAGCCAGTATTCAATGGTGTTAATGTCTAGTTTCAATCAATCGATGAATACAAAGCATGGAATTAATATACGATATATGTATATATGCAGTCAACTGAAATAATGATTTCAATCCGGATACAATGACATCTGGTTCAAAATTTTTCACATCCAAGTTAAATGATTAAAAATATGAGATTTTCATCATTCTGTTATTATTCGTAAATTGATTATTTATCAACCTCATACTTCCCTTTTCATGAAGTTATCACAGATTTACTGATATTCCATTAATTTGTTAAGACAGCTTCGAATGATAGTCACTATACTGTTTCATTTTTTATGGAATAAATTTATCGTACTGATTATTAACAAGTGGCTTGTTTTACAGATCTAAAATTACAACCTGTAAAGTACTTAAGTTCTAATAATCGTTAATCAACTTTGATCTGAGAAGTAGTAGTGTGACAATTTCAGCAGTGTATCATACCATTCTTCTTTATATTCAATTATCAATATTTTCCATTCAAAATAATCATCCTTAATGGTAATGTGAAAGTGCATTGACGGGTAAGTAAAGTAATGAAGTTATTTTAAGATGTATTCACAAGATCTATCATATTTTTTCAGATCAACTGTGACTTCTGATTACAGTGTACAAAGTATACAAATCAGTTATTGAATCAATAATTCGCGAGATAGTGATCTCGCATATATTGCTGTAATCGATTGGAGCGAATATTTAATTTGAAGTTGTTTACCAATGAAAATTCTAAATCATTTCTTTATATGGTAATTAATAACTCCATTTTAGTGATTTATTTCGATACATAATCAATAAAAGTTGACAAGTGAAAACGTACTTAAACATCTATTTATTTAAAAGATACTAGTCAAGTAATAGTCCTAAAGGTTTGTTATTAGATAACATTTATAAAGAAATGATAAATTTTAACCTTACGATCAATTACTAAAGACCAACTGACTAACTAATGACTCTCCAACATCACAGTAAACAGAAATTATTGTTATTTCTACGAAGTACATGTATTAGGACCCTTTGTTAAGAGAGGGGATGACGTTAGTTAGTTGGAGGTAATCGTCAGAAAACGTCAAAAATAAGTCTCGGGCTTTTCAACACCCATTTGAAAGGTATACCGACATTCCTTGTCGAACTAGTGCTTAGAATTGAACCTGAACCCTCGTCGCTTAATTTCAGAATCCGAAATGACACTGCTAAGCTATTTACATAATAACGAACCTCTTGTAAAACTGAAAATCACATTGAAAGCGTTAGTTCTTTCGGGATTGTGGCCAGAGCTTGCCGATGAGTGCAAATCAGTGCAAAAGCTGGACCAATGAATGTTTCTTACTGGCGACCTAGAACTATCCAACACCAAAACATAGTTTATACGGTATTGATACACTTAAACTAGTAATCACACTTCAAATTTATCAATATGCCTCGACCAACAATAAGGACTAGACGGACACAAAACTGGTTACTACTCAGTGATCACCTAACCATGAGCTACATGATACAAATTTCCAACCTGAGTGAAAATATCAATGCCTCAGTGTTACTGATTTATATTTCATACATTAGTTCTAATAAGCAAGAAGAGTAGATTGATAATTTCATTCTAAATATCCCTAACTCTTTAGTAATGTTCTTATTAATCATGGAAAAAGTTATCTATAGTGATAAAGTATCTTTTTGATGATAATAATAATTTGAAATTTCTTGTTTGCCTTCAGCATTTATATTTCTCAACTGATTATAAACCTTCGTTTTATCAAAGGAACAATCCAACGGTTCTTTACATTCCAATATATTCTTCTTATCTATTTATTCTAATCATGTTATATTAGCATCAGAACGGGTTTTGTGGAGATTGTAGTAATTTCAATAGTTGAGATCATGAGTCAATTGAGACTAGACCATCATGGAAAACCTGGAAACACTTGACAGTCGTTTCGTCCTATTGTGGGACTCCTCAGCAGTGCGCATACACGATAGGTCCTGGGTTCGAATCACGCGAGGCGAGGTCATGGATGTTATATTAGTTTACCGATTCATTGTGTCTAGAAAAGTAGGTGATTACTAAAAGTTTGAAAACAATTAGCACTGATAATAATGAGTTGATAACTGATCCTATTCAAGAAGATTCAGGAATGAAACTATGCACTACACAAACGACTAGTATATTCTTAGCCAATTATAAGTTATTGATTGAGTTCAAACCTGTATTCATTTTTGATAATAAACAAAAGAATTTGAATATTCCAATAGTATATTTAATTTGTGCGAATAACATCATGTAATATAAATGTTTTTTGTTTGGTAGCTGATATTCATATAGACATTTTGAAATTTTCAGCAAAATCCACCATTCTATAAGATACAAATAGAAGAAGCGGAAGAATATGAAGTAGTTTAGAATAATTTAAAAATCAATGAATTGATAAAAATTAGTATCAGAAGCGTTTTTTGTGGATATTATAGTAATTTCAACAGTTGAGATCATGGGTCAATTGAAGCTAGATCAACATGGAAAACCTGGAAGCACTGGATGGCTGTTTCGTCCTATTGTAGGACTCCTCATCAGTGTGCATCCACGATCCTGCATGACGGTATGGAAACCAGGACCTTCGGTTTCACACGTGAACACTTAACCTCTAGACCACTGAGCCAGCATTCAATGGTGTTAATGTCTAATTTCAACTAATCCACGATAAAAATTAATCGAAAATGCGTTTGATTCAATGTTACTAATAATCAGTGAATTTTGAGTAATCCAGTTCGATTGAGTTTATTTGTAGACTATTGACCAATTGTTAGATCAAAATTGATGAAATAATTTATAACTAAGTAAAAAGAAAATTTGTTAAGTTGACAAAAATTGTGGTTTATGCTACTTATGTCTGTCAACATAAGTAGTATTCAACGCCTATCGGAAGTAAAGTGCTTACCAGCAGAAGATTGAGAAGATTGAATTGAAGAGAACGGGAATGTAAACTGATAGTAATTGTAATAGCAATGAAGTAACGATTACGTTAGAGATAACTGTTGGAAGATTTGTAAATAATGTATTTAATGTATGGTTTTCACATTTTACGAAACAATTTCTCACTTGAGTGTGCGATCACTACAATGTTATCACTTTTAAAATTCTCAGAAACGTTTAGATGAACATTTTTCAATTCGGTCAGTGGATTGATGAGTTTAATATCTACCGTTGCTAGTATATAGTCTCTAATGGTCATTATAATTACAGAACCTAAATAACTTTGGTTGCCATATATTCTATTTTTGTCAATAATGAAATTCAAAAATTGATCTTAGCTAGATCACCATTGAAAATTTAGAAGCGTTAGATGACCATTTCGTCATAGTATGCAACTTCTCGACATTGAGCTAAGATCGGTTAGTGTTTTGAAGTATGAAAATACAACAATCTCCATAAATCGTCATCACTGATGATTTTGAAATTCACAGTAAATCTCCTTAATTGACTTCATCTGATGACATTTTAGTGGTTCACATTGAGCTTCTGTGTCTTTTATTTTTGTCTATATCAGCCTTATCAGTAAATTTATCACTCCTTATCTTATTAAATTGTGTTGTGGTACTTTTCATGATTAATGGGATATACGTTTTCAACAGAGATGTATATATGCATCTTAGTATGTATCTATCTGTCTTGTTTTGTATCTATTATTTGTTCGGATTTGCAAACTAAGTAGGACTTCGTGTTTTTGACTGAAGGTAATTTCCGAACCAAATACACATATTACTCTGACAGTTTGTTTGCTGAAATGTGATTGCTTTGTAAAAAAAATATGAGTCTTCTTAACACATCTGGTATTCGACTTTTAATATTGTATTGTTTAAACATGATTAGTCTTGTAGTGGTCCTGTTCTTTAAATGAACTTTCCTGTGGTTAATTCCAGTTCAATTTTCTGCTGTGTTCACCTAAAATATAACTTACAAATATCTCATGTATTTAATGTAATTTATTGACAGCCTTAACTGTTTCTGGTATTTTAGTATCAGGCCTAAAGAACACTCATAAACAAATGAATTATACATTCTAATGCACGAGGTCAGCATCGCGATGACCTACATTTCACACACAAGGTTATTTGGGATCTACATTTCTCTAGAATCAAACGTGATCAATACTTCAAATATTATCTTGTCCATTGATAAGCAATTTGAAGGTTGTCGGTAAACGCATGCATTCATAAGTATAGTCTTCAATGAGAAAAACAGTTTCATATGTGTTAGATAGTATCAATGAAATTGCAATTAAGTAAATAACTTCATATAAAGTATTAAATTAACGTATCATTACCTTACAAAGTCGATAAACTACAAATTGTTCACTGAAGCTTAAGGTTATAGCCATGAAAATATCATGTAGAAGTGCATTGCACTAAAACAGAATAACACAATAAATTTAAGTGAATAATATAACACAATGGAAAGTCATTTTATCCAACAAATATAATTATCATCTGAATATATAGTGTGAGACATCAATAACGAAGAATATATCCCAGAATAATCCAGGTTTGAATGTCGAAAGAAATAGCTACGACTAAGCAGATGAAAGATAGGACATACATTGAGAAAAGCACCCAACTGCGTCACAAGACAAGCCCTCACTTGAAATTTTCAAGGTCAAAGGAGAAGAAAAAGGCTAAAGAACACATTACGCCAAGAAATAGAGACAGACATGAGAAGAATGAACAACGATTGGATAGAACTAGAAAGAAAGGCTCAGAATAGAGTGGGTTGTAGAATGCTGATCGGCGGCCTATGCTCCATTGGGAGTAACAGGCGTAAGTAATTAAGTAAGCAGATGAAAATTAAATGTATAATGTAAATATTTAATCATATTTTTTTCAAGAAAAGGGTTATGTATATCACTGAAACCAATAGAGTATATATGTTTAAGTATATTAGACAAATATTTGAATTAATTCAATTAATTGGTTGAACTATAAAGAAGAATCATTCGTTGAAAAAAGAATACAACATAAAACAAACTCACTATGATAGATAATTTGGGTAATTTATCACACATAGTTAATGTGTTATTGTATAATTCTGATAGGAAAGGCTCCGACATTAACATTGATTTTATCACTTGTCCAGTATTAAGACAACATTTACAAACTGACGGTGTGTAAACAGGATAGAAAATATCGTTAGTCAATTTATGATAAATAATGGTGTTAAAAAAAACGTTAGATTTAAGGATTTTCAATGGTTTATGGTTTGATACTGAATTTGATAAATCTATATCGTAGAATATACTTTGTGTGTTGATAGCTTGATACAGTTTTGAAGTCATCACTACTTAATTCAGTCGATTTTATTATAATCAACTTGTTCATTGATACCGACTTGCGCCCATAAAACGTTCAGGTATATACTAAAACTAGTATTTATGAGGAATATAAAGGAAAGCAACGACTATGTACATACTCCGAAGGACACTGGTCAAACAATGACAGGATAATAAAAGCCTACAGACACGGTTAATAAACTTGTGTATGGGTATTGATGAAGGAACTAAAAAAAAAGTCAAATAGGGGCAGTTTGTGAAGGAATAAATGTTTCATCTACTCAGTCAAAATAAGAGAAGCACGGTCATAATCTATAAAGGTTTTGATTGGTTAATTCAAATAGACCAGAATAGGGTTTGTGGAAATCGTAGTAATTTTAATAGTTAAATTCATGAGTCGATCAAATTTAGACCCCATCGAAAATCTAGAGTCACTGGACAGCCGTATCGTCCAAGTATGGGATTCCTCAACAGTACGCATCCACAGTCCTGCATGACGGAATCAAAATCAGGACATTCGGCGTTGCGCGCGAACAATTAACCTTTAGACCACTGACTCGGTATCCAGCAGTGTTAATGTCGTGGCCAGTGGAGTTTAGTCTGTGTCGGGTAGAGACAGGAATCTACCTTAAGCAATGGATGAATGGTTGCACAACCATTCATGAATCGATTGAAGTTAGACACTAACACTGTTGGATGCCGACTCAGTGGTCTAGTGGTTAAGCGTTCACTCACGAGACTGAAGGACCTAGGCTCGAATCCGGAGAGCGAGATCGTGGATAAGCACTGCTAAGGAACCCCACAATAGTACGAAACGGTCGTCCAATGCTCCCAGGTTTTCAATGGTGATCTAACAGCAAGCGGTTCATGATCTCAATCAAAAACTTAATAATCTATACAATTCTATACTGATATCCTGAAAATATCTTATTCAAATATGTGCTGATTATCAATAAAACTATATGGAAAATTATGAACTATCGAAATCAGTCTCATGGTAATTAACTTTAGTCAAAAATCAAAAAATGGTTGTGTTTTTTTTTGTTTAATTTGATTGCACATAATAAATAAATCGCATTGATCTATATATCTCTGTGTATGTGCATTTCTCATTGGTATCTGTTTGTGATAACTGTGAATAGTTTTGTGTGAAATCAATAATTTTTTCTTTTTAACTTGCAATAATGTTATGATTGGTTGGTTGTTTGTTTTTTGAATCAATAATGATATCACTTCTTATATACTCGTAATGAGTAGCCATAGAAATTGCAGCAAATTAATAGATTATTTAAATACAACATAAAATTGTATCAACTTACCAGGTACAATAGGTGGGTAAGAACAGAAACCGAGAAACTGTGGGGGGAAAAAATAGTTAATTGACAACTCAGTTATAGTTTTAAGTTAAAATTGTGGTTCTGTGGTGGTGGTGAGGGGGTAATTTACTTAGATTATTTAAAACCATAGAAGAAGGATTAACATTTTACTTAAGGATATACTATACTAACTTACAGCACACCATTTTTGTGGTACTATATGACGGAAAAGATAAAAGACCTGTGATGAAAGTTCATTTGCAAACATTCTACACTGTAAATAAGAACATGAAAATGAGGAAGAAAAAATAGTGAAAACTTTCTATATAACCGTAACTAATATTAAGGAAAAAATGTAACTCAAGTAGCTATTTTGGTAAAACCCACTTGATGTAGCAATTTGATAACATTTAATCTTAAATAAGAACTTCTCACGGGTGTTTACCGTTAACCTTTTTAATGTATCAACCTAAAATTCGTCTCCATGATTTACTTAAAACGATTAACAGTATTCTTATATATTTATTACGGGGGCTAAGTGGTTTCATTAAAATGATTGTTCTACATGTTATAATACAGTTTAAGTTTTAATAGGAATAAAGTTGATAGGCGTTGCTAATTATGACCAATTATCAGCGGCCTGATATTGTAAATACTATCTTCGACTCCTATCGGTAGAAACTTACATCATGCGGCGTATAAATGAAGGAAGATGAGAACTACTATAGAACATAAAAATTAATACAATCATTAGACATTACATCATACCCAACTCAAATGAAACCGACAGTTATTGTTCTGGTTAATTTTTCTAACTTAGACACATGATTACCTGTTTATGTAAGTGATGAGCATAGTTGGTAAGTTAATGGAAAATTCAAAGATTTCAACATATTTTCCTAATGATATTCAAATACACAGTTAAGTAAAGTATTATATGTACGTTCAAAATAATGATTAATCAACATGAATAGGGAATACTTCATAACCTTTTAATTTATTCTCCAAAACCACTAAATTAATACACCAACCTAAAGCAAACAACAAGTGATACTATGGACAGGTAATCACTATGCATCAGGAATAGTTGAATTTAATTAGGCATGACTTTTCACTATAACTTCAAGAGTTCATTAACAATGTAAGGAATTTGTAGATGGCTTTTTTTAAACCATGGATTAATAAAAGATAAGAAACAACAGAAAACATTTGAATCATAATCTTGTCCTCAATAGTACCCGTACAACTGGGAGATTCATGAAAATAAAGTAATAAATTATAACTGATGAAGTTCAACTAGATCTGAAGCGAAACAATTAGCGATAGATGAGATTTAATCATTTTTGAGCTAAATTTTAAATTTACTGTTGTTAAAAACATAGATCATTAGTTATCAACTAAATGATTTAGAGAGAACATAGTTGCTTTGAGACCTGAAGTTTTCAATCTCTTCGTCGTCTAATAAAGCGGTAAAACTAAAGAGTATCCTAGAAATTGTGAGGAGTACACCTGTTCTCTGTCAACTATTTCTCTAGTAACTATTCTTCTGATAATCATTGCATGCAAGTGATATTTGTCATTTTGTCCACTATTTTAATTACAACTGATATACTGAAATATAAGACTTCGAAGTTTCACAATCACATCATGATCATATTTTATTTCATTTTTTTACCATATATTATAGCATTTCCTTTTAATCCAGGAGACTTTACAATATAGATGCAGCCACAATTCGATTGAGTTGTACTCGTCATGCGTATCTGCCTAAAAACTGATCAGAAATGATAAAATAGTAATCCATTGTAATTCTGAAATACAAGAATCTTTCGATCTCACAATCAGTATGAAAGAACTCATTCATTTTTAATTAGAGAGGGTTTTGTGGAGATTGTAGTAATTTAATAATTGAATTCACCAGTCAGTTGAAGCTAGACCACCATGGAAAACCTAGAGCGTTCGCGCGCAAGACCGATATGTCCTGGGTTCGAATCTCGCGAGGTGGGATCGTGTATACGCACTACTGAGGAGTCCCACAATAGAATGAAACGGCCGTTCAATGCTTCCAGGTTCTCAATGGTGGCCTAGCTTCAAATAACTCATTGATTTAGTCAATTTATGGTAAAACATCACAATATACTTTAACCGAATTCTTTATTTTGAAAAAAGATATAGATCCTTATTTGTGAAATTCAGTGTTATCGTATTTATCTGTGTCTCATTGTAAGGATTATTTCACCAATATTGTTTTCATAATAATTCAGAATCTTTTTCGAAATTCTGTGTTCATGAATATCGATTTAGTCGACTAGATATGGACGTGTAATTTGAGAATTTATTTTATTGACAACGAACTTGATCCTGGCCATGCTCGAGATATGAACAAAATTTAAAGCTATATAGGTTGACAGATGCCAACAATGTAAAAATGGTAAATATACCGTGATGTCACCATTGAGCAAACAATATCAAGATGCTTACATAAGCTTAGAAAAAATTACATTTTAATCATAAGCAAACCAGACAAATCAACAAGATCAGTTCTTATCAGTATAGGGTTGTGGAGATTATTGAGTTATTGATCGAGATCTTGAACCGATTGATGTTAGACCACCATTGAAAACCTGGAAGCACTGGACGACCGTTTTGTTCTATTGTGGGACTCCTTAGCAGTGCTCATCCACGATCTCGCCCCCGGGATTTGAGCCTAGGTCCTTCAGTCTAGCTCTCAGACACTTAACCTCTTGACCACTGAGTCGGCATCCAACGGTGTTAATGCTTAACCTCAACCAATCCAGGAAATTGCGCGACCGTCTTCTATTGTATTGAGCTATATACTTGTCTCTACCTGGCACGGAATAACTCCACTGGTCACGGCTTCTCACTAAAACTCCGAGAATTCTCTCACAAAGTTAGTCCCACAATAGGACAAAACGGCCGTTCTGTGCTTTCATGTTTTCATTGGTGGTCTAACATCAATCGGTTCAAGATGAGTTCTAAAGAACAAAACAGATGATCCTACTGAACTGGATTGATTGGTTTAGTATTTCCATATATACAAATGTATATCAGGGTAAAGCCTGATAATGATTTAATTGAAAACAACATTGTTCACTTAAAGATACTGTTATAATTTTGAAAGATACATTTATGTATATAATGAATTGAATATTGAAAAAAAGTTATTTATTACTTACGGAAGTATTAAATGGACCTGTTTCCATACAAAGTGTTTCGGTTATTTCATTGATAGACTTGTTTGTTGATGGACTTAAAATCATACCTAAAACTTTTCCAGTACCACTTTTACAAGTAATGCACTCTGAAATTGACAGAGAAAATAATGTAAATATAATATTTATAATATAATATTTCAATAGTTGAGATCATGAGTCGATTGAAGCCAGACCATCATGGTAATCCAGAAAGCAGTAGATCGCTGTTTTGACCTATTATCGGACTCCTCAGAAGTGCGCATCCACGACCGCGCCTAGCGGGATTCGAACCCAGGACCTATCAGTCTCGCGTGCGACCGCTTAACCATATAATATAATATTATATTTATTCCACCCCAAAAAGTTTATAGTTATCTACCATACAGAGGTGAATTCAGTAGTATGCTTTTAAGACAGAGATTGGAAGTAGCTATCGAGAAAACCTATTATATTGCTAAACTGGTTTGATTGGAAAGTCTAAGCCCATGATTCCAAATAGACATAGACAAAACACAAATGATTACGTCACATCCTATTGCATTTACCAATTTACATGTTTGTGCAAACACACATACATAGGGAGGAGTAATCGAACAATAGAAACAAGGTTCATGGAACATGTGCCTAGATGGCTTCAAAACCAGTTAATTTCAAATGATCTGATCAAAGTGGGAAGTAGAAAACCATGTTCATCGATAGCCAAACACATAATTGACATCAATACAGTTCTTAAAACGTTGCATAGAAATTGTTAAGGATGAATTCTCAGATTTATTAAAGCCTTGGCTATTCGTAAATTTAAACATCCCTTATGTGTACAAAAACAATTTGTTGTAACCTTGAATTCACCCTGGTAATCCTTTAGTCATTTTATGGCCTAGGATAATGCGACAGTTTCTTATTCTTTCTATACGATGTTAAAAAACGTTCTCTCCCCTTTATTAACTTGTTTACTTGAACCTTCATTTAATTGACCTTATTAATCTTCATATTAAATGTCTTGACAAGTATATATGCAACCAGAAATGTTCGAAATGCATAGCATAGATCAGATCAATTCCGTCTTCTCATTGCTCTATCGAAATTCACAAAAAGGACTAATTGCTTTCAAGTTATTCTTGAGTTTTTTTATTTTGAAGAATTGTAAAGCTAATTTTTGGGGATTTAGTTTAATTTGCTTATGGGTACATTTTCTTCTAAAATTGAAGATGCTCATTAAGAGGTTTAGATACAGCTAATACAAAGATATTTGTTGATGATAGTACCTTTTAAACATAGGAATATCAAAGGAATTCGACTCATTATTGGTAAAGAATAAGTTATATAAAATGTAAAGTTTTGAGTAGAAAGCGCTCGTTTATTTTATTTGAGTCACCTTATATTTGTGAACAAGTCAAAATGGAGTCTTAGCTGACATTAGTAAACTTGGAACATTATCACAATCAAATTAATTTATGAGTACAATACACTAAGGAGAAAGAGTTGTGCAAAGTTACACTTAATTCATGCTATTGCAAATACTAATTCATATGTACATAATTATTAACGCTCTGATGTTATTAGAAGATCTGTTTAAAATACTTAGTATTATCTGGACAGTTCATCGAATCCCAAACAACCTCATCTTTTACACAACAAAAACATTTAGAGATCACTTGATCTTAAAAAGTTAACCATATGAAATATTGACAGAACAGTTGTCCTTTACGAATTCAGTTAATTTCATGTATGGGTTTCTCACTACTCAAATACTAATATTCAATATCAGTTGTTATACTATCATATCAACGGGCAGATTACCATCCAAACTGCGATTATTAATATATACGTTGATTAATCACTGAATAACGATAAATGTCATGTTTTTCTAGTCCTTAGTGTTAACCGAATCCTGTCGATCAAGTCGCAATGTGACCACCAATTTAAGTGACCTGATATTTTAATGTTAGTTGGCTGGAATTAGTCAGCAGGAATTTGACCTTGCCGTGACAACTACTCACTAAGAATCACAGGTATAACTTGTTGACGAGTGCCAACTAGCAAAACATCTAAGTATCAGGGTTTCTTATTAATTGTCTTCAACCACACAACATTTTTACTGAATATTTATGCTTATATTTTTATTTAGTACTTAAAACTTGTTTAGAACTCAAAGATGTCTGTTTTCATTGGATAGATTCATTTAGTATAATTCTCAGTATGATAATATTTTGAAGGTTTTTAATGTACTCCATTCGTTTTGAGATTTTTGACTTGAGTACAGCAATTAATGTACTAAAAAAAAACACTGAACAAATTTGGTCTAATTAAATGGATAATAAAAAGAGAAACAAGTTGTACGTCATATATTGGTCTAGTGGTTAAGCGCTGAGGCGCGTGACTGATAAATCCTGGGTTAGAATCTCGCGAGGAAGGATAATGGATGCACACTGATGAAGAGTCCCACAATAGGACGAAACAGCCATCCAGTTCTTCCAGGTTTTCCATCGTGGTCTAGCTTCAATTGACTCATGATATCAACTACTGAAATTACTACAATCTCCACAAAACCCCTTCTGATATATTGAAAAGTCAAATACGAATACATTTCAATAAATATACATTTTATCGCTAGTTGATTTAATGACAGAACTACTTACGGAAAATGTTCGGTTGACTTCCTCTTCTATTATACTGTTTTTCAAAAGAGTAATAATAAAGAACAAAGTGAACAGAATGAAGAAAGAATTGGTGAAACATAACTCCGATTTAACATTGATGTGTCTATTGCCTTTTTTATTTTTAACCCCTATCTGTTACTTTTTTCATCTATAATATCTTTGCTCGTATTGTGTACTTGCAGGAGACTGATAGGATGTAACAGATTAGATTATTCTGAATAACACTGTACACTATTACTTCATTTTATGGTTTACCATCGTCTTTTGGAGATAAATCCTTCTTTTTGAAAACATATAATCATTGAAAAACGCAAAAGTCTAAGTTCTCAATTTTTTGTAGATATCTTTAAACTCCCAATGGGTCGGAGAATGCTGGTCAGTGGCCTATGCTCCATTGGGAGTAACAGGCGTAAGTAAATTAGACTATCGTCCTCTATGAATTCTGAATTAAAGTGTAAAGGCAGATAATTAGATTTATGTTGAGTTAGAACCCTTAATCAGCCTATAATCGATCGCTCTTATGTTGAAGCTAAATATAACAGTAAGTTAATGATTCTATTAAGTATAATAAGATAACGGAGAAACTCTAATTTGTTCCTATAGATAGGTGGACAAAATATGGACTTGATATAGATGAAAAAATACTTAGATTCTCCATTTGAGCAAGTAAACATACTTTAATATAAGCGTAATATGACTCTGACAAGATAGTGTGCGTTATTCTAAAGTGACATTCAAGAATTTAAAGCGCTAAGTCAAATATATATGACCTATTCACTAACTATAAGCTAATTTGTAAACTGAACTGTAAACTAAATTAAATATTTTAATGCATATTCATTAAGAAACTGTCTATTTAATTCAAGAATATAATTATAATATATTTAAAGAGTGTTATAAGATTTCATTGATTATGAAAAGGCGTTTGACAGTGTAGATAGGAGAACGTTATGGAAACTTCTTCGACACTATGGAGTTCCCGAGAAGATTGTCAACATTATCCGGAACTCATACGACGGACTACAGTACAAATTAGTGCAGTAAGAACAGTTGACAGATGCATTCCAAGTAAGGACTGGAGTCACACAAGGCTGTTTACTCTCTTCCTTCCTTTTTCTTCTGGTGGTCGACTGGATTATGAGGACCTCGACATCTGTAGGAAAACACGGCATACAATGCACAGCTGGAATTCGCAGATGACCTAGCCCTCCTATCGCATACACACGAACAGATGCAGATAAAGACAGCCAGTGTCGCAGCAGTCTATGCATCAGTAGGCCTCGGCATACACAAAGGGAAAACCAAGGTCCTCAAACTCAAAGCGGAGAACAGCAATTCAGTCACTCTTGATGGAGAAACTCTGGAAAATGTGGAAACGTTCACATATCTAGAAAGCATCATTCATGAACAAGGATGATCGAATGCAGATGTGAATGCGAGGATTGACAAAGCAAGGGCAGCATTCCCACAACTGAAGAACATATAGAACCCAGAACAACTGTCAACCAACACCAAAGTAAGAATTGTCAATACGAACGTCAAGGAAGTTCTACTGTACGGAGATGAAACTTTAAGAACTACTACAACCATCATCAAGAAGGTACAAGTATTTACAAACATTTGTCTACGCAAGATACTCAACATCAATTGGCCGGATACCATCAACAACAGCCTTTTGTGGGAGAGAACAAACCAGTTTCCATCTAAAGAGGAAATTCAAAAAAGACGATGGAAATGGATAGGACATGCATTACGCAAATCATCATACTGCATCGCGAGGCAAGCCCTAACTTGAAATCCTGAAGGGAAGCGGGAAAGAGGAAGGCCAAAGAACATATTACGTCAGGAAATAGAAGCAGATATGAAAATGATGAATAACAACTGGAAGGAGCTGGAAAGGATTGCCCATGACAGGGTTGGATGAAGAATGCTAGTTGGCGGCCTATGCTCCTTCACGAGGAGTAACAGGCGTAAGTAAATAAGTGATAGTTTTATCTAACTAGGTCTATAAGATTTTCCATTCGACAAAATTTATCTCACATCAATGTAACACAGTCTACTTTATTGAAAAAAAAACAGAGATCATAAATATCTCAACTTCATTAAATATTCAGTCAGACAATTTTCATTGATTTTACTGACCTTTTGAACTTGTAACTGTTGTGTAGAATCTTCCATTACATTATCCGTACAGAATACTGAAATTTCAAAAGAATACAATGTAAGATGAATAAGAAATTTCATGAATTCACTACTTACCTAATGAAATAAGTAAACATAATATACATAATGATTTCATAGTTACTGGTTAATTATCATTCTACTTTAATTATATAATGAATATTTATACATAAATTGATCAAGAACTTTTTTCACTATCATTATTCCTCATCATCATTAACAGGATTAATTATGTAATCGGTCATTACTTATCTGAATAATAATAATAATAATAATAATAATAATAATAATAATAATAATAATGGCACCATATTACTGAATATTATTATCTAATATGGATATGCTTATAGATAAAAAGAGTAAATATCAATTCAATGTAATCAAAGTTCAAATAATTAAATCAGTCCATGTTAGAATAAATTTTTATAATAAAATATTGTTTTATTTTATTGTTGAATATTTATAATTGTGAATGTTTTATTTAAATAAAATTTAAACAATTTCTTATTTATTTTGTTTAAATGAACATGAACTCTTTAAATGAATTAGATTAAGAGCGAATTTTATATTTGAATATTTATTGATTATGAATAATGTTGTGGTTTAAAAAAAATAATAATTTGTAATATCCCAATGAGTAGAAAATTGGATTTTCTGACGTTTCGTGACTTAGTGTAAGTCACTTCTTCAGAGAATAAATAACCAAATTTTATTTATAACAATCAACCCAATGCTCAATTTATTTGAAATTATCAAATCAAACCTTGGTAATGACACCTACAAATGTTGTGGTTTGTTACATAATGGTTGTTTCCTAGTTTGCTTGTTTGTTTGTTTGTTTTTTATCTTGTTGATTGATTTTATCCAAGAGATTGGTGACTAAATTTCTAATGGCAGAATAAAATGTAAGAAAAATTTGAGTTGAATGGATTCTAGATTTCTAATCATCTGTCTTTATATTACTGATTTGTATGTTAGTCGATTGAGATAGGAGATTGTGATGTTTGTATGTAATGGTGATTAATTTATACATTTTTTTGGTAGCAAATTCTAATTTTAAAAAAACAGCTATTTTAAATGTCAGAAGGGGTTGTTTGTAGATATTATAGTAATTTTAATGGTTAAGATCATGTGTCAATTGAAGCTAAACCATCATGGAAAACCTGGAAGCACTGGAATGCCGTTTCATCCTATTTTAGGACTCCTCAACAGTGCGCATCCATCATCCCCCGTGGCGAGATTCGAAACCAGGACACATCGGTCTCGCGCATGAACGCTCAACCTCTAGACCACTGAGCTGGCCGGTATCCAACGGTGTTAATGTCTAACTTCAACTAATCCACGAAAGTCAACAGACCCGGTTAAATTCCACTGGTCACTGCTTCTAACTAGAACTTCTAACATTTTAAATATGCTTTCTCTCGGCTTGAATACTGATCCACTACTAAAGTACACATTGGATAGTCCTGGGATTTACTGGTTAGCATATCAAATTCAATTAAACTACTCCTTTCTATAGAGATCCAGTTGATTACTAGGTTTCAATTCTACGTTGATTACAAAAATATTTCAGTGTAACTCTAATTATAAAATTTCAGATTTTTAATAATATCATACCTTACCGGTCAAAATTGTGCTGAGTTAAATATAGTGAGTTTCTGATTATTTATTAATTAGACTACACAACTATTTAGTTATGTTTCATTGATAATTTGGTTTTACTATCAAAAGATGATAATTATCAACAGGATACTTGAAATAAGAAGACATAAATGTCTAGACAATGTCTTAAAGTGCCAAAAGTTTCTAAACTTTCATTTACATAACAGCTGGTCGAAACACTCACTGACTAAAATAAAGATGAAACTGTTGGTCTGCATGCCACTTAGTAGGATATACTATCAGAACATCTCTGTGAATCATGTTAGGGTACTTTTATAATCAGACGGTGGTTGTGAGTAGTTGACAGCAAATCCTGGACCTAGGCACTTGTCAGCAAAGTGTACGTGTGATCTTGATGAAACTGAAACTCCCTCAAGATTACGGGTACATTTTGCTGATAAGTACCAAATAATACGAAACCTCGGTCCAGGGTTTCCTGCTGACTTTCTTCAGCCACCATCTTATCTCAACATAGTGCACGAGATATTGAGTCACTTAGACTAGTGGTCACATTGCAACTTGGTAGATGGAATTCTATCCGTACTAAAAGGATTATTATTTGTTAATTTTTCATGTAATAATGATATCAACAGCAGTTCCTATATTTTATTCTTTTAGATAGGCTTAGGCTAACAGTCAAGCAATTAAGACATTTTAAAGAAGTTTACTTGCACACATGACTTATAAACTCATATTAGAAATGCTTACAAATAAGTTCTTTCAAAACGGAGGTGCTCACACAACAACTTCCACCTTCTGTTGATGTTATTGACATGCATAGCACCTCTCCTACACTTAAGTTTGCTTTTGTTTAGTTTTTTCGAGCTCTTCAATTAAATTATTTGACAGACAGTGTTATTCGAACAGTAAAAATCTGTAAATCTTGGTATTACTATATATGAACGTGTACACTTCATCACATGTGACAGTCTACTCACATATCCCTCTCTCTACCTTAAATGTTAGTTTTTTTTAAAAAGTTCCCGACAAGTCATTCTCTTCCCTATATACATATCCTTAAATCTTATTAATTGATTCGGCTCTTCATTCTATTCTCTATGCGAGTCTTAGTTCGCTTCTGTATTCGTTCATTCGAGCGTATTAGCTTTTCTACTCGAATTTGCTTGTTGTGCTTCTGGCTTAATGATTTGTGCTATTCAATAATAAACTGTAGTCGGTGCTTCGTACTGCCTTCTCAATTCATACACATTTCAGGATTTGTTTAATAACGTTTATCAGGGCGATTGATATACGAAGCCTATGAGAAATATCTCGAAGCTTACGTGTTGACGTCAAAACTAGCTTTTACTTATACCCTAGATGAAACTAAAAGCAAAATGGGCATAACGACTCACAGATTCTACAGAACAACGCGCAATAAGTCAAGATTGTAGTAAACATTTTTGGTTAGATTTTCTGTGTTCACTGTTTAAAAGTGTGAACTGTTCGGATAAATACATAATACAAGCTATGGATGCTGCAAGTCAGACTTTCTTGCACGACACAAGGAATAAAGTGAATAAGCTTGAGTAGTAATCCAAAGTAAATTATGCCCAATGTATTATTCAATATCCACATATATATTAGTCAATCTTTTTCATAGGTTTATGTCTAGACTACTACTTATTGTGTTTTTTCCAACTGGCTTTACGAACAGTTATCGACACAACTGTAAGTAAAAGTCAGTAAAAGTTGTTACATGTACATTTCATATATAACTATAGGATCTTGCATCGCGCATTTCACCAACAGAGCAATATCCAAGTTTCATGATCATCATTACATCGAGAATTTCTTTATTCACCCATATTATCGGAACAGTATTGATATTACTTTTAAACTTATTACATATAAGACTGACGTATTACTTTTTACTTGTAGAACGCTGTAAACGAAATCTGAACTGGATCATAAGAATTAAACCAACTGCTATGTCCCAATTGTAAAGAATATGAGGTGACAAATTATTCTTGAAAAATGTACATATCTTTTTTTAGATTTAATATACCATTCTATTTATAACACATCAGTCTGGTAACTATGGCGACGTAAGATACTACTAGTGTTGACGAGACAGGACTTCATAGATAACTGGAATAAACTGTCATTGCGGGTCCATATTTTATCTTCAAAACAGTGTTCATTGTAGAAAGATTTTACAAGTCAAGTCTTTTATTAGCTTTATGTATAATGATGCGCTACGGAAAATATGTTAAGGTGCAAAACAGTTAGATGCTAATTTTCGAATTTCATGGGGTTTGCTAAATGGCGCAAAATCAACCTTGAATAAAATAGAAAAACGCCTTCTACAACAGAAATTATGGGTATTTTTCAATGAAGCCTATAAGATTTCCTCACAACGTTGGAGGGATTTTCCTAAAATAATTGGAAATTTTGCGGGGTTTTCAACCAAGTTCGATGGATTTCTTCAGTTAGTAGGAATTTTGAGGAGAAACCTCAGACCAGGGAAAGTTTTGAGGATCTTGGTCGTATTTCACTAGAACTGGAGAAGTTTCCGTCAAGTTTGAGGGATTGGAACTTCAAGGTATTAATAACAGAGACAACTTAATTGGAGATATTTACAAAGAATTGCACACGATCAGTAGAATTGACTGATTAAATCACAAACCAAGGAGAAACGACTACTGTATGTGCATTTTGCGTACATTAAGCAATGTGTTGAAAACAACCCAAAGACGAAACAGCGCATTTTCATGGTGTTTCGTCAAGAATCAATACCAAGAGTTGGTATGTAATGTAGAATAATAAATAGAGTTAGCGGAAATATCGAAATATACGTAAATCGACAATGAATGAAGTTGATCGGAAGAAAGTCTGAGGTTTTAAATAATGGCAACCTTGTAGATGGTTTAAAACAAAACCTGCTACTAAGTAAGAGTAACAGTTCATCCCAACTTGTGCAAAGCATACGTAAGACGTGAAAACCCGATGCCTCAGTCAGTAAGTTCAACAATCTGCACCTCCAATTATGTTCTCGAAGATTATAAAAAAAACAGAATTAATGAGTATAACAAATGAACAATGACGATGTCAAACCAATCTTATGGAAAAATTTTGTTGATTTCAAAGAAGCCTTACTTTAAATATTAGGGGAAATGTGATTGAACGCCCGAAAATTTCCTACAGTGTTTCGAGGAGACTCTATAGACTTAAATAAAAAAATTCCCATAATTTCCAATCCCTGGTGACCAAGATATGGTCATCTAGGCTGGGTCTTAAATGCTTTGTATGATTTCATACCAAGTTAGCGGTCAACCCATTTGCGTTTAACTTGAGCAGACATCATCGCGATTTGGTTTTTGCTCTATTCTATGCTCTCAAATGTCATTTATTCTGCAGCCTTAATTAGTAAGTATAACAGACCAATTGGCTAATAATAATCCTCGCGATCCTTGGTACTATGACGATCTAGTCCTTCCTTGAACATAATCATCCAGCAGTTGGGTCATTGAACATCGAACAAATCATTGATCTTCGTCAAGGTCAAGGACAACCAACGCCCATCAGTTAATCGTACGCCACGGACTGGCCCATGAGGTGGTGGCCTTACCTTCGCTTGTATCTACTTTAACTAATATATTTCTGTAATAACGTT